CCACTCAACGTAAGAAGCTCAATTTTGGCATACAGGTTGATTCTAGGGTGTAGAGGTTCGATAAGAAGGGATTTTTCGAAATTCCAGTTCCAAGAGGGTGAAACCACCCTTCAAATGTTACAATATTTTTTATTTAAAAAACGGTCAAGTTTCCGAAAAAACGCTTCAACGCGTATATTTTATTTTGTTTTTTTACATATTTTAGGATTTTTTAAAAATGTATACAGGGTGTTTCAAAAAATCTGGTTATTGATTATTCACGATCCTGCTTAAAGCGCTTGGCGTAATAAGCTGATTTTTGGAAAACTGATTGACTTTAGGGTGTAGAGGTTCGATTTGAAGGGATTTTTCGAAACTCGAATTCTAAGGGGGTGAAACTATCCCTCAAATATTAAAATATTTTTTATTTAAAAACCGGTGAGTTTTTCGGAAAAACTCTTAAACACGTATATTTTATTTTGTTGTTTTACATATTTTAAGATTTTTTATAAATTTATACAGGTTGTTTCATAAAATATGACCATTGAGTAATCACGATTCTGCTTAAACTGCTTGCCGTTTAAAGCTGATTTTTGGCAAACGGATTGACTGTGGGGTGTAGAGGTTCGATAAGGAGGGGTTTCTCGAATCTCAAATTCCAAGAGAGTGAAAACGCCCCTCAAATATTACAATATTTGTTATTTAAAAAACGGTTAGTCTTTCGGGAAAACCATAGACTTAAAATAAAATATAGACTGAGCATCTCATTCATAAATAGCTGGAACATGCGGTCAGACAATATCTTGTTATTGTTGTGTTATTGTTTTAGGTTATAACGAGTGCGACACGAGCGATAGATAGGTTGTCTCTGTCGTAACGGTCGTTCCCTGACGACTCTGCCGAGAAACACAACACTGTCTTTCGTTTCTCAAGTACACCTGAACTCTCCGTCTCATAGCCGGGTAATTTTTTTATTTTAATGAAGCTATAATTAAATTAAAAATATATCGTATTTAAACATTTTTATATTTTATTAAGATTTAGGACAGGTTTTTTAAATAAAAGTTTTAGAAAAAACGTCTTAGAGTCCAAAAAGGATAAAAATAATAAAATACACGTTATAGAAGAAATTTTATAATCGAAATTATGTAATTTTTGAAATTAATAATAAATTATTAATTTTAGTCAAACATTTACAACCCCTAATATTAATCAAAACAGGATCTATTCCACAGATATAATAGAGTCGGCGACAGGGAGAGAAAAAAAAATATGATTGTTGTAATGTTTTTTCTGGTTAAGTGATGTCTTATGTAAATTAGAGAAAACATAAATCTGTTCCATTAAAGCAAGGAAGATGATAGGAAGTGGATAAAATGAATACTACATTTATTTAACTCGGTACTGTCTTTATTATACCGGGTGCGTCCCAAAAGTGGCTCATCCCCATAATTTTTTTATATTTTCAAATAAAAAAACAAGATTTAGCATGTTAGTATATGACATAAATTAGGATTGATTGACGCATTCAATTGTTTTTGGTCACTTCCTCTTTCACCGGAAATTACTATAACTTTTCATTTTTAAACGGCACCCTCGGTATATTTCTACTTTATTCGATAGAAAATGACACTCTGAATAGAATGATATATAATATGTCAACTTTTGACATTTTCGCATATGGTTTAATTGTAATTGTAACACGCGGTTCATAACGACAATTTGACTCGAAATACCAAGTGTGTGGTATCAATATATTCATAAAAAAAATGCTTTTTCCAAATATGCTAATGAGTCACCCTTGTTTCATTTGAAAAAATTGACATATGTATGATTAAAAATACGATTTGTACATCTTTTAACCGGCCTAGACAAGACACGAAACCTATTAGACGATCAAAACTATTTTTCCAAGGCTCCTTGATTAAAACTTAGTGTTTTTAACAACACCATGGCACCCTGGATTGAAATTTAAAATAGGATATGTTTTTAAGCGACAATGTCAAAAGTTGACATATGATATGTCATTCTATTCAGAGTGTCATTTTTTATCGAATAAAGTAGCAATATACCGAGGGTGTCTTTAAAAATCAAAAGATGTAATCATTTCGGTGAAACAGGAAGAGACCAAAAACAATTGAATACGTCAAGAAATCCTAATTTATGTCATATACCTACTAACATACAAATCTGTTTTTTTTATCTGAAAAAATAAAAAAGTTATAGGAGTGAGTTACTTTTGAGACGACCCGGTATATTAAAAAATATTGTTTCATAATGTAATATCATTTTAAAATTCTTGTATGTCATTTTAGATTCTGGAGATAATTTTAGAATAAACCGGAATATATTTTTAATAAAAACATTATTAATTATTAACAGGGTTATAATTATGATTTTGTTACAATGTAAGTAAGTAAATAATGTAATGTAAGAGAAAAAATTCAGATTTTACATTTTACTAAAATATTATCTAAATAAGCGCCTTTCTACAACAACGCCACTGACTCACAATGGGTAAATTGAGAGTTGCCTACCGGTCAAAAGTCGTTTCAAGACTTAAATGGATTATTTAAGTCAAATTTCTTGCAAATTTGGCACTGGCGAACCATATTTTATATTTTTTGAACAGAAAAAGTCAATAAAATAAACACTTAAGGACTACAAGCTAAGAAAATGCGTTAATACAGCCGGGGAGATAGCGGCAACAAAGCTTTACCGCACACGTGCGACACGTACTACAAGGTAATAAATGAATGAATAGGCTCCCTCGCCTCTAATCGGTGTTGTCATATTGTAAAGAACTTATCCTTATTAAACAGTATCCCACTTATAATTTAGTAGTATAAGGACTATTTAATACATCTATGGAATATTAAAACCTACTTTATTAAACTGTAGTATTAATATCTCAATATATGTGTATAACAAGAAAAAAAATATTGATAATATTAAAGACGTGACAACATAGGCTGGATGAGGAAGGCTCGGTCGACTGTACCCAGAAGTAAACATGTGTACAAAAAAGGTTGTTTGTCCGCGTTGAGATGTAAATAGTGTAGTCTATATTTTATTTTAAGTCTATGGGGAAAACGCTTCGACAAGCATAATTTATTTGTTTTTTTTTACATATTTTGAATTTTTTTTTAAAAATCATACAGGGTGTTCCAAAAAGTTCGGTAATTTCTTAACCATGATTCTGCTTAAACTGCTTGACGTAAAAAGCTTATTTTTGGCAAACGGAAATGTGAGAAAATTTTATCCAGTTTGTATGTTAGTGGTAATTCTTGCTTTGCTTTATCATCACCATTACAAATGATTAATTCGACGCGAACGAAGTCGCTGGTACACGCTAGTTTCTAATTATATTTGATGATTTTTGATCTATTAAAACAAGAACGTAGTAGCCGGTAATTGAATTATAATTCGTCTCAATTACTACCTAACTGTTGCAGATCATAACAAATTTGAATATAAACGTTGCATTTGAAACTTTGTTATAAGCCAGTAAGTGACATTTTTTTTCTTAAAATTGTGTCATATTTTGGTCATTATATACGATATTCTAAAGGAATTTTGCTCAACAATTAAACAAAGGTGTTTACCCGACCTTTTTTACATTTTATTGCTTTATTATATCTGCCTCTTCGGCCTTGTTTAGACAATTTTTTACCACCGTACAAATACCTCTTGCTAGAGTTATTTGTACGGTGTGTTATTTTGCCTCGTCTTATATTGCCTCGTATCAAAGCCATCATAATACAAGAAGAAGACCGGAAGTCAAATATGTCTTATCAAAAAAACACAATTTTTTCATTAAATATTGATTTTAGGTATAGGAAGTTATTAATAATACAAGATTAAACGACTATCACACACACACAGTACTTCACTGGAAGCTATCGATTGCGAACTAACTAAATCGTTACTAATTACTAATTTTGAAAAGTTCTTTTTAAGATCAAAAAAGGTAAAACTAAAACCTTAACTATCATTTGAGATTTAACGGACATTTATTTTAGACAAGAAAAAATTATTTATAAGTTTTATAACATCTCTAATTAAATTTGGACGAAAACAATATCTCTGTTTGCTGTAGGTAATTTTCTCAGGGAAAATACGTAAATAAAAATGACTTTCTAAGTCAAAAAAAGTCAAAGAACAAGTTATTCCAAAAAAGAACTGTCCTTTTGAAAAAAGGACATGTGACAACCCTAGGTATTTCTGGAATGGAAATTTAATGGCAAATCTACAACTTTAGTTTGAAAATATGTTCCGGCCACCTATGTTTACAAAGATGTCTAAAATGTGCTTTACCATTGCCTCCATATTATCCTGAAAAAAAAAATTGAAAGAAAAGTCACCAACCACAAACCTAATATAAAACTGTTTCGGAAGCCTGAGTCACCCTGTAAATATTCAAAAGTTTATATAGAAGTAACTAAACTGAAAGTTTATATAGAAGTAACTAAAAGTTTAAATTGAAAATCGACGTTGGGGCGATTTTCGAAAACTACCTACTAACGTTTCAACATAAGTATATGTGGGATATTAATTATATTATTATATTAGACCTTATAACAAAACTCATCTGACAAGTGTTAATGTAGTATATTAATATGGAGTAAAAATTTTACTAATTACATACTTTTACTTTGCTAATTAAATTCGTTCCAAAACGCCACTGGCGATTAGATAGTAGGCCACGATACGCCACTGGCCATTAGAACAATTCAAATGCGCCTAGTTGCCGGGGTCGGAAATTTTAGACTTCTCTGTCTCTTCTGTCCTTGTTTGACACATTGGAATGTTTGATACACTACCAACGAATATTTATGAATGAGATGTTCGGTCTATCTTTATAATGTCTTTGGAACCCACGAAAAACGTAACAGTATGAAATAGACATTGACGATTTAATAACACTAATTGAGAAAAGGCCCCCAATTTGGGACTTTGGCATTAGATTGTTTGATATATAAAATTTGGTTAAAAAGGCCTTATTTTTGTTAGAAAGTTACCTTTAGCAGCAATTCTATGCTCGCCGACGTGTGTCATTTCTCTATCAGGTCGTTCTTCAATGACGATATGCTCACCACTTGAAATTTTGGCATCTATTGAGGTGAATGGTGCCGCCACAAAAAATGGCACTCGGTGATATTTTGCCACAACAGCTATTTGATACGTTCCGATTTTGTTTGCGGTATCACCATTAGCAGCTACCTAATATCACATTATAATTAAATAGGAAAATACATTACTAATAGCAAGTTAAAAATAATATAAATACAGGGTGAGTCTTAAATAAGTGCAAATACTTTAGGAGTATGTAGTATATTTCGACCCCAGAAACACATCTATGATGTTTTCTTCGCGAAAAAAAATTTGAAAATTTGGAATTTTTTGAAAAAAATTTTGAAAATCTTTTTTAATTTTTAGTTAACTTAATTAAAAAACCGTAATGAGAAAATATATTTCTTTTATCGAGATCTACCAGGCCTGAAAATATTTGAACTTGTTTAAGACTCGCCCTGTATAATAAGCAAACTTGAATAACACAGTAAAAAACTAATAAAACATACGTTCTCTAATATAAAAAAATATAGGAATTACATTCATACAAATAATGAGTATTGCTGCTTCATTTATAATATTTATATAAAAAATGGATCTAAATATGTAACTATTGTGAAATTACAAATATAAAGAGTTCAGATATGTACGGGATATCGCAAAATTGGTACTTTTCTAAAAGAAATGCTATATATTTTTTGCTTGGTTGAAATTGCAGGAAAGTTCTAAAAATACGATGTCATAATTTATACCAAGTGGTTTTTAAAGTATGAGACTAAAATTTCTAAATTTTTTATCTCCCCGAACAAAATTAATATCAAAATTTACTTTGCTTTTTAAATATTTCAGAATTGGCGATAACAGTAGACTTAATATATTATTTTTTCATGTGCGGTTAATATATTTAAAACATCTTCAAACGCAACTAGGCTATAACACAGGGGCGGCTCATAGCACTGGAAGATGGTGAGGCACATTAGAAGAGAATTTTTATTAGTATGTATATAGGGTGACCATTAGTACGAGGACAAATATATGAAAAAAAGTTCTATATAAAAAAAGTGCATATCCTAAAAAAATATTTTCTTTGAAATTGCAATCGCATTACCATTTTTCTGTACAGAATTGGGTTCAGCATAAAATTCAGCATACATCACACTATTGATTTATTTGAAGCATTATATATGCGGGATTTCCATGATAATTCATATTTGAAAAATTTCATTTTTTAAAAAGTGATAAAGAAGTATGTATATAGCGTGGTATGTAGGACAAAAGAAGAAATCCGAGAAAAATTAACATTATTTTATACAGGGATTTTTTTATGGCACGGCCAACATTGCAATATTATAATGCAATATGTCAATTTTTTTAAATGCAATACACACTGTATATTATTTTTAGTATTTTAGATACCTACAAACTTAAAAAGCGCACATTTTTGTATTTAAAATATTTCTAAATTTTTAGCAGTTGCGGAAATAGCCTTATGTAATATAATTCGCAGTATATATATGATCGTATATATACCGTATGATCGAATAAAAACGGCGTCAGCGATGGCTATGAAATGAAGATCGCTGTCATTTTATATGTAAAATTATATGGGAAATGTCATCGAGATCGTCATTTTCTAGCCAACTGGACGCCGTTTTTTTCGATCATACGGTACCTATTACATAGGGCTATTGCCAACAGTAAATTTTTATCAAAACAACCTCAGGATATTTTGTCTTATATTTTACTCTGTATGGTAAAATTTTGTTTTTCTACCCATCCTATAAAAATAAAACAAAATGAAATCTGTAACAGGTTGCTTTACTTTTTGACTATACGAGTATACAATTTATCTAGAAATGATTCGAATTCGAAAAACTTTACCTGGGGAAGTCCTCTGATGATGCATGTGGTCCCTCTAAATCATCATATCAATCAACAAGTCACTGCCCACTTTTTAGGTATTTACTTAATACGTTGTAATCAGTAAGACGAGTAATTAAACATGCAATTCACATTAAAAAACGTATATATTAATCAATTAGACACAAAACAGTGCAATAACCGGCAGAGTTAATTCAAACTCTGATTCAAACTATATATATTCCCAAATAATGCAATTCTGCATTTTCAGCCTGTCGCCTAAAATTTCTCGGGCTGATCGGGAAGTGATACATATTTTTAACGAACGGCTTTTAAGGTTTAAATTTACATTTGAGGCTCGCCTCAATACGGTCTTTTTACGCGCTACTACTCCATACATTTTATCTCTCTTCAACTAAAGATTTTGCCTATGCTATTTCTTTTCATTCTGTAGATTTAAGATTCCAGTGAACGCTGTCGCTCCGTCAATGCGATATACCACAATACGCTAGACAAGGAAAGGCGAGAGGCAAACCTCTGCACATATACTTCTTAAAGAACAAATGAGATGGATATATATATCGTCCAGTTTGTCGCATATGGGAAAGGAAGCGCGTTTAAAGGAATACCATCGACGTAATTTATTGTAGAATGACGGATAAAAAATACAATTATTATTGATGCAAATAGGGAAAAAATATATAATTGTGATTAAAGATGTATCGATTAATACGTGTAATTCTTCAAATGTATTGGTGTGGCACTGCCTCATCTGCCTCATAGGACAAGCCGCCCCTGCTATAACATTTAGTCGATTGAGTCGATTGTGACAACTCTCTAATTTAACGTGTTAAGAGCAAGATTATAGTAAACGCCACGAATGTTTGGGAGTGATTCATCGCTTGATGAAGTTAGAATCGACACGCGCGCTATCATTTTTACATTAAAAACGTAAATTTTTACCGCAGACGTAGGTTTTTAAAGGCCCGGTCTAATCATCTGCCTGCGCTCCTCCTACTTATTCTAAAATGTTAGCGTGATTGACAAAGACGATACTATATCGCGTTTCTTTGATTGATTCGTTTTTGTGCATTAGTCCATTGGTGTGCTTGCAGTGCGACTAATGGGGCATTCCATTTTATATTTATAATCAAATATATGTTTTGACAAGACTTTGACAGTTAAAACAACAAATTACAACAGATTATATATTGATTATTATAATGACTTGAAACACCACGGCACTGGAATTAAGTTTTATGTGACCTTGAACAGATTAGTTCACATGGTAGCGACCGATAAATCACTCCCAAACATTCGTGGCGTTTACTATACTCCAATTTCTGAATCAAATATACAGATCATCCTATATCCAAATTCTATATCCACGGTTAGATGATCAGCCAATGATGGAGATACACTAATGGAACTTCAACCGTGTTAAAGAGATGTCAAGAGTGGAAAATACCTACATTTCTTCTATGCAACATTGCCGGTCTTCCATTAAAATATTTAATACTGATTAAGTAACCGTTTCTGGTTCAGGATTTAGAGCCGGATACGGTACAAATGATCATCTTCAAGTTATTAAGAACGATAGACACACTATCAACATTATCAGACACACTAGCCCTGGTCACTTTATTTCCGTGGTCTGTACTTTAATGCATACGTCAGAGATAAATATATACGACCAGTTGATAGACAGAGAAAAAATAAAAAGCGGCATACAGTGTTGCCGGTTCGTACGAGAAATAAGGTAATAAACGAAGATAATATATCTAAGCTATTCAGTAATGCTCATTTCTATTAGATAGTTGCAGTAAAACAGGTAGAATAATTGCAGGATTTTATCACTCATAACTGGAATTTGCTCAAAACCAAACTTAGCTCTGAATGATTTATAAATTTGGCATAAAAGATATGGGCATTTAAGTTATGATTCTATTTCTAAAATAAGAGAAAGAAAATAATAAAATTTGTGAAATGTTTTCTTTTATTTATCTTTTATTAATCTTTTTTATCTTTAGAAAGAAATGAATACAAATTATGTATACCCCTACTTATACCCCACGCTTCCTCTAAGAGATGCGAGACCTTGTCGGTGGGGAAGCTCCTGGTCAGGTGATAGGGGGAATCGCCTCTGGCACTTTGGCTAGGTCTAAGTTCCATATATCATTGTCTTGTCCCTGGCTGTAGTGTTGTGGCCAGGGAATTGCAAGACGAATAACGTTGCCGGATGGGATTACCCTGTCCGTCATACCAGGCACCCTCTACTGTCTGTGTTGGTCTACTGTCATATCAGACCAAGAGGAGACAACCTCACCAAAAAACTAAATCCTACGATGGCGGAATCTGGTCAAAGGGATGCGTGGCTAGATAGAAGACTAGCCTTTACTGGTCTCAATCTTGGGACTCCAGGGGACACCTATTGTATTTACCTCTTACTTATATATGCGGGGCTCTATAGAAGTGGACCAATTATCCCTAGCGACTCGTGGGAACACTATGAGACCTAATATTAAAAACACCACCGGTGAAGCTGTGCGGAATCCCCCTAGCGGGCACTGGGAACATTAACAATGAAAGTTCCAAGGGACCGATCCCAAAGAAAACTACAGAGGGGCGGCTGACACTTGCTAGAGATCGTCCTCCACATGTGGCATACAAGCTACCACCTCCGCCAGCAAGGGCCTGGAGCCCACCTCTAGACCCAATAAGGGACACAAGCTACTGTTCCGTCTACCCGGCCTGGGTCAACCAGGCAGGCTAGACGATCCTCTGAGAGTAGCTTTTAGCGGAGAAGCCCGGAGATATCTCCGACTGCTCCACGAAGGACTTGGAAGCAAAAGCAAAAACACTCATCGGAAAAGGGAAAAGTAAAGGAACCAAGAAACAGCGTGGTGCATCTCCACCAATGGGCAAGAGAGGGAGCGAGAACCTCTCACCTCTGCTCCAAGCGGCAAGGAGAGGAAAAAGTCAGGATGGAAAGCCTTCCAACACCGGGAGGCAAGCAGAGACGTAACACCAGCTTTGCCGCTATTGACAAGTGAAAATGGCGGTGCCAAAGGATTACACAGAGGTTGCAGTGACAACTGACTAGCAAACGGCTCTAGAAGAGGCGATACTAGACGAAGTAGTGGCGACCGGATCGTCACGGTTTAAAAATATGTTACTGACGAAATGGCTAAAACATGTGGAATAAATGTGCTTTGGTTGACACCCTATTGTGACTTAAATCCCATCGAACTTATATGGATACAAATGAAAGGATTTGTACCGGGTCAGCT